GGATACTATGGCTACAAGTATGATGCCAATTGATTCATATTATTATAAACTCTTTGAGTTCTCCTTTAGTTGGTTAGATGATTGAATTATTGAGTACAGGATAATAAATAAGGTTTATGTACATAAGAAGAAAGGCAAATTTCTATCCAACTTGCAGGCTGATAAAAACGTTTTTTAACTAATAAGGTTACCAGTACTAGATATTAATGCTAATCTAAATAGTTTAGTCTAGATAATTTGATATTTACAACAGTTATTCGATAACAAAAATGATACATATGCAATGGGTTTGAAGTTGAATAATCGTGTTTCCTTGAGCTCCCATTTTTTTTAAACAATTGACCCTCTAGCTGCTTGATGTATCGGGAAAGCGGTTTTGTAGAAGGAGTAAACTTTCTTATTTTCTAATCATGATTAGCAATACATTCTAAACTAACTCTGTCAAAATCATTCCGTAAGTAATTACCTTACTACTACGATAAAAAACATAAACGTTATTGAATGAAAGGATTTATGTAGACTGAGAATGTCATTTATCTATAGTTGAAGCTTTCACATTATAGAATTACTAAATGCCAAACTAACTGAATATACATAAGCTTACTAACTGGTTACAAACAGACATGTAGATGTATCAAAATATAACTGAAATCCCAAGCCTTTTAAATACTATGCTGTTAAAAATAAACAAGACTATCAGTACCTGTGTTTTGGAATCCCGGACAGTTTACAGCATTTTTCAAAGACCAAATACACTAACAGTATCATAAAAGCTCAATATCTAAAGAACTACGATTGCGATTAAAATTACCAATAATATCATATATATGTCAAATGAATGATCTGTCAGAATTTATAATTTCTATCTTGATTCAGGATTGATCACTATTTTATGGGAACATTTGGATCAGCAGAAGACACCAGGCTTTTATTTTTATTAATAGAACAAATATAATTTGTTTACTGCTATAAACTTTGGGAGTAAAGAATTCAGCTTATTGACTTCTCATTTTTATTAACACCGAAGCAGATCTACATTAATTTATTTTGATTATTAACTTCTTCAGTTGTATCAAGTGTAATGAGAGTACGTAAGAAAAATGTAATTAATATTACTATATGCTCTATATGACTTCTTAAGAAGCGATACACTACATTATTACTTTATGACTTCTTACTAAATATCGAAATCAAGTAGCCATCTGCGTACAGTTTAAGCGTTCAGGCATGAAGCCGAAGATCTTGGGTTTGAACCCTGTGTAAGGCTCGTGGGTGGACGCTGCTGAGGAGTCCCATACTAGAACAAAACGGCCGTCCAGTGCTTCTACGTTTTCAGTGGTGTTCTAGCTTAGATCGACTCTTGAATTCAACGATTAAAATATTCATATTCACTCTGGTTTTCTGTGCTGATCGGGCTCCACATAAAATACCCATATTACCGTTTGACGTGTATAGTGCTTAAATGAAACTTTAAATCGAACGTGAGCTTCATAACAAGTTCTAGATTACCCCAATATAGAAAACCATTATTCCTATAAGAAATAATTCAAAACTATCAAAATACCAACATACGTAACATTAAACAACGCATCCTGGAATGTGTTTTGATACTGTCCAACTACTACTTAATCAAAATGCTAATAAAAATAACTAAAATTTTATAGGATAATAATAACAGTTTTTATGTTTACTTGTTGGTGGAAAAGACTGATCCGAATCGCATCATGTAATAAACAACTTATGATTCCAAATATGAACCTGAAATATCTAAAAGTTGTCTGTTTTGTTTTGAAAATAGTTAAACAGGATAATAAGAATTTTGTCAAATCTTAGTTTACTTAAGTTAGATGTTAATAGGGTATTTTTTTCACAATAGAACAGCTGTTGATAAGGTATGATATCCTGAGAGCTTAATAATTTGCAAGAATATTGATATATATCACGTGGTTACATTTCGTTGTTTAGATAAACGTTGTTTTTAAAATTTGCCGTGGTTTTTAAAAAAACAGAATTTACAGTGATATCACCGGAATAGTTACAATATATTCCATATACAGTCATTTTATTGTTGTTTAGATATGAACTAGACACAGAAAAAAAAATTTGTTTACCGTGAATTTGTTTTATTTTTTATTTAATAAAAGATTAAACTGACTTTCGTTGTATATGTGCTTTTTTTAGGAATGCAAAATTTAAGATAAAGCTGATTGTCAATACATTTTTTTCATATAGTTACAAAAATTCCTTAATTTTTAAATCATCTTACTACTAAGACTTTCTGTAAAAATTTAATAAAATACTTCATCCAATACAACTACCGCTATTACTGCTGCTGTGGTGTGTGCTACTGGTGTCGACAGATATAAGTAGTATGTATCATGAATCGAAGGTGAAATACCTGACGGCAGAAGGTTAAGATGATAGAAAGGAAGAGAATAAGAACAATCAAGTCTGAGAAAATTGACTGAAATTTTGCAAATGAATTATTTACCGTATGTTTTTAGGATTTTACCAAAAGGTTCTGTAATTATGTATTCAAATGTATTTGATTGTCCCTACTGGTGTTCTAGTTCACTACAATACTAGTTTCTTAGTTCGATATTCTAAACATTTAAACGACATTGTTAAACAAGATACTTTCATTATTGTCGAACAACTCAACATAAACTCTACAGATTACATCATAACTAGTAAATGATAATTAACCTTTCATTCAATTAATTATTTCTCTCTTTATTTGTGAAACTGAACTAATTCGAATAATAACAGTTCAGTCGCATATTATCTATGGGCCTACTTAGACTAAGCGTTTATCCAATTTAATACCAAACAAAATACGTTAAACTATCATCGTAACAATTACTTTGCAATTTAGACTAATTAATATGTTTTTCGATAATTAATAGAATGACTATTACAATTCAATCAATTCCATACTTTTAAATAATCTCATAAGAAGACAAAGATATATTAATCGAATACGTTTTAGATGTGTACCAGGAAAAATCTAACAAAACAGTTAACTGTCATTAAAAATTACCTACGCCAAGATGGATATCCACAAAATGTTATCGAAAAGTTTGATAAGACTAACAAACGGGCTGATTATGATACAGCTGAAAAGAAAACCTGTTTTATTCATCTTTGTTTTGGAAGAAATCATCTTGAATAATTAATTATGGAATAGATATTGCCATAAAAATTAGGTATCCAGTAATGAATTTGACCATCTTGTGTGAAACAAACTGCTTCTTAAAACAAACAGAAATCTACAGACTTTTTACTAACTTTATCACTTTACACGTTCATCCAAAAACACTTAATTGAGAGAAGAATACACGTTCATATTCTCAAGCGCGATCCAAAGATTTTGTAACCCTAAAGTGCAGCACCTCTAAACAGTGCTCCAGTTCGGCATTTATTTGATATTGTGCATATTACTAAAGTTTAGAGATCCCTCAAAATTATCACTAAACAACAAAGCAGAGTTTCTTTCATCTTACTAAGGCAGTAGGAATTGATAAAAATAAACCAGATTTATATGTCCAGACAGAGACAACAACTTATCATTGCTTTGGTAAATATACGTTGTTCATTAAAATCATATGCAATAATTTTCATTACTGTTATTTCATTTATTTGGTTATGCAGTCTTCACCATGGTAATTATTACCTCACTTACGCTAAAATTAATTTTTCGATTAGTCATTGCTTTTCGCTCTCCCGATTTTCAAAACGTAAGTAAACTTTTCAAACTAAAGTCATTTCTATTTCTAATTCTCTATAATTACAACCTCATCACTCTATGAGTTAGATGTAGTTTTTAAAAATTATCTTACATTTATGCACACTATTTAAATCTTCTATAATTATTACACAATTCGTTTTGTCATCTTTCTAACTCTATATAATTACTACCTTATTCAGATTTCGTTTACTTACTCTGCCCTATAATGACCATCTGCGTGCTAATTCACACACATATGTACGCATAGCTATTACTAATAATCGTTATTATTCTATTCTTTTCCTCCATTAAAGTCTACCACTCCGTAATTTATTATATATTGGTGTTATCCTTTAATATGAATACGATTGTAAACAGCTGAAAAGGAACAATGAGACAGAATAAATCTATATTATTCTGCCTCATTTTTCATTTTAGCTTTATTGATGACCACTTCGTTAGTTGGATAACCGAACTATTTTTAGGCCGATATTAATCAATGAACAGAAATTGCTTTGGAGTGTTAAGATTAACCAGTGGGTTTTTTTAATATTTTTTATCAAACGTTTTGGTTAACAGATAACTGTTCATCGAATTCTAGTCAAACACATTGATTACTTGATTAAAAATACCAAATGAAGTTTGATAAAATAATCTACGAAGTAGTTGGAACTATTCAACATTTAAACGTGTAAATGAAGTCGGTACTGACATGTTATATTTTTGATCTTGTTTCTCATATTTTCAAAAAATAGACTATTAAGCACAAAATGTTACATAAGAACTATAAAGACATTCAAAATGCAATTTTTGAATGACATTTGGTAAAAACATTAAAAAATACGGAATAAACTTCAGTTGTTGTTGAACTTTAAATAAAAAACGACAACTAATCCGATTGTTCTCATAAATCAGTATTGCTGTTATTACGATCGGTTAATGTAATTAGACAATAGCCAGTCAGTTATATAATGTGATTTGCTTGAAATCCAAGATCATTACTGAAGAAAATATGTGAGGTATATTTAAGATTAAAAATCTTTCAGAATAGTAATTATCTGAAATGTATGATACAAAATATTATTATTCGAATCTTTTTGTACAATATTTAGATGTTCACCAGACAAAATAGCCTTAGCTCTTACAAACCGACTAGATTTTTACAAAAAAATACAGGGCGTAAAGATATTCAGATAAGTGAACAAAATATGAAATGTACATACAATGAAAATTCAATGAATTGGATTCATGTTATTTTCCAGTGAAATTCTATTCAACGTTTAAAAATTTTGTCTTTTCTCCTTGTATGACATAATCTAGTCAGACATTCACGAAAGTTTCTATTCAAACCAACATATAAAAAGAAATTAGTTGTCGATGTAATTAAACATAACAGCTGACTAAAATGTTTATACAGAGCTGAATATGGTCGACATTTTATGCAAGATCTTGGTACAATCAATTCCAAAATATGCACATACGCTAAAGCTTGAGGAATCTGACCGATAATAAACAAAAATATCACAGTCATTAATAATATTGACAGTTTGTTATTTGCTTGCTGTGAACGTTCCAACCGTCTGTTTCTTAAAGAAATACGCTTTGTTGGAGGTGGACTGTTATTTCTATATATTGTAGTGTTGTCAACAATATCTTTTGAAATTGTTACTTGAGTTGTGAAATTGGAGATTGCTTGAGGTTTTATTTGTAAATTATAAGGTATATCACTTACACTTTGGCAACAAGTCTCATTATTTTCATCAATCCTTGATGTCATTGGAAGTGATGAACGTTTCATATAACTTTGTTGACTTAATTGATGTGCTTTCTGGTTATGATAACTAGACCATGTTAAACGTAGAAGCATAAAATTAACGATACATAATGTAATCAATGGAATACATTGAACACAGATAAACCGTATCCATGTAAACGTGTGATAGTATGGTGATTGTCCAAACCATGTTAATTTACTGTAATGAAAATGTCTTTTTGTATTATTAGGTCCTTGTACAACAGAAGTATTGATTTTCAATGTAAAAAATAATGGGAAATTAAATACCACAGCTATACATACAGTGATAAACACCTGCCATTTCCCTTGATATCTTGCAAAATATAACTTGCCTAAATGTGGCCACTTCATAATGATATAACGTTCCGCTGATATTAACACAGTTATCCACACAGATGAAGCTTCAAGTATATTCCCCAATCCAAATCCAATATATGTTACGTAATATAACAATATAACCCTAAATTGTTTATATATTTCTGTTTGACATATTCGAAGTTGTGTTCCACATCTATATAATGAAATAAAATTTAAAAAATGTTTATTTAATTAACAAATTAACTGTGAGTAATCAGATATCATATATACTATAAACAATCGAATATAGTTATATAACAGGTTAGAAGAACGATTACCTTTATGGTAGGTAGGATAACTTACCTAAATAACATAATACATGTTATTAATTCTAAAACCAATAATCTAAAAAAAAAACAATTATGTTCACTGAAACGAGAAATATAACAGTTCGAAATTAAGCGATCGAATTCGTGAAATTTTGAAGCATCGATGTTAAACATGATTTTTTGTTCATCATATAAATGAAACTCTTTATATCATAAATATTATACGTATTCTCTTTCTGTTTCAAATAAACTTTACAAACAATCGTGAACAATTGTCATTTTAGTACTTAGTTGAAGGGAATAAATATTGATTGAGAAGATATGCATCAATTTAATTTATTAGATTAGATAACTTTGGAAGCTTATCATTTCGATGTAAAGATTAAAGTGTCGAAGTAGATTAGTGCAGATAAAATGCTGAATTGCAAGTTCAAGAAGTATGTTGGATATAGTTGTATATCATTTTAATCATACAACAATCTGAATAGGTGTATCTTTACCCTTTATTCGTATACATATCAATAAATCCTTAGGAAGATACAATGTCAGTTGAATAATAGTACAGTGAGAATATCAAGTAAAACCCATCTACGAACCAGTAATTTTAAAGTTAAGTCCATAGAGTTTATGAAAATAAACTAAGAAACTGTTGAATATAGTTGCTATTCTTGTAAGTTGTTAACTCGGGAAAAACTGCTACGTATGCTTGGTAGTTAGATAAGTTGCTTGCTTTCTGTGTTTTTCTCAAACGAAAATTCAAATGATTTCAAGTTAAATACACTTGAAATGATAATTCATTGTATCCATGTTTAATTTTATAGTATTCACCAGCTGCAAAATATGAAATATATTTACTTGTATCTGAGTAACATAACAGTCAGTTAAACTATTATTTAAATAGTTGATTATATCTGCACCACAAGAGTTATTACTCAATAGAGTCAAAGAATCAGATCAAGCTTCACTCATATTTCTTGAACGTATTTCATAACGATTGATGAAAGAAAAGGAAAATTAATGAGACTAAATTATGGACAACCTTTGAGCGACGCTAAAGTGACCTTGTGAAGGTCCACCTTATAACTAGGAATAAACGAAGATTGTAAACCAGTGTGAAGAATTAGGATTATGATTAGGGTTAGGAATTAGATTTAGATTTTTCATCATGAATTGACACCAGCTAAAGTGTCAAAACGCTATTTAGCCGAATGGTTGAATGAATTTCGCGCCAAAACCCGAGACCTGTTATCTTACACCTGATTGGCTCATTCCTGATTTTCTTACTTAAATATTCCATCTACACGAAAATCAAGATAATCCTTCTATTTTTAGCTTACAACTATGGACTTTTATGACATTACGTTACATGGAAGAATAAAACAACAAATAAACTATGTCTCAAGTGTTTTGTGTCTAGATTAGTAGGTTAACGCAAAGTAATTTTGTTAGGTCCGTACGAAGAATAAATGAATGTAACCACTGTGAATTATCTATGAACTAATATTAAATGAATATTCTTATTGTATGACTATTAGGTAACTATATTACATGTATATTCATATTCCTTTGATTATAAGCTCTTATTTGACCCATTGACTATTGTCATACGATTTACTATTCTTAAGATATTTTCAGTTTATTAGTAACGAATTGTATAATTGTTATTTTTCATCTATGGTATGATGCAGTCCAGTATGTCTGGGCATAAGCACATAACATATATTAGGAAGGTATCAACTGCCACTGATTAGTTAATAACTTACTAAGTGGGTACAATTTACAATTATCGTTAGATTCGAATACTATAACTAATAAACATAACCAAAAAAATGCGTTACATGCTTACTCCTTCCTTCTAAATATAGATTTATTGATTGAGATAATGAACCGATTGATGTTAGACCACCATTAAAAACGTGGAAGCAATGGATGGCCGTTTCATCCTATTGTGGGGCTTTTCATCAGTGCGCATTCACGATCCCGCTCGCAGGATTCAAACCCAGGGCCTTCAGTCTCGCGCGAGGACACTTAACCTACTGGACCACTGAGCTGGCATCCAATGTTGTTAATTTCTAACCTCAACCAATCCACGAAGTTGCACAATCATCTTCCGTTGTACTGAGGAAGACACCCCTTTCTACCCGACACGGATTAGCTCCGCTGGTCACGGCATCAGTCGGTTTATGATCTCAATCAAAACTTAACAATCTCCACAACCCCTATACTGATAGATTTATTGATTAAAGTTTAGGAATATATGGATTAATTTATGCGTACAGTAACCATGAGAATTAAAAGAATAACATAGATATCAATTTTCAACCTTCAAGTGTAATACTACATGTAAATTTCTCCCAGAAAATTAGAACTTTATTTTGATTTTCGAGGCAAATAAGTTTTCAAATGATAACAAGCACTACCATTTCTTGGGTTTTCTCTTCGATAAGCATTGTCATTATTTATTAGTTAATTGTAATTATATGGAAATGGTTAAATTGGAAAACAAACGTCAAAATCAATGTTGATCCAGTTTCTTTCTAAATATGTTTAATGTCATGTTATTTGAAATCATAGGAGTAAACTAGCAAATATGATCAAACTAATATATTTGTTTTAAATACTTGTTTCATCAGTAGCAATTTGAGATCACTATTACAACGTGCAATATGAATGTGAAGATTAGTCAAACTTTAACTGATTTTTAATGGATATTATACTCATAAGCATTACATTCATAAGTATATCAATAACATGACATTTCTAGAACAACTTAACTTTTCATACTGTGAACAACTGTTAGGTGTAGTAGTTCGATTCAAAATGTATTAAAAGTTTACTTGTCTGAAATATTATTGATCAAAAGTACATATTTAAAGACGTGTAAAATTATTATTGCGTAACAATAATAATATACCCCTAAAATTTATATAGAAAAAATAATTAATCTTATATTGTATAGGTGCTAATTTTAATTAAATTATATTTACCAAGTACTTTTGTTGTTCGTCAGCCAACAACACTGTACTATCATATTATTGTTGAATACACCACAACATCCCAAAATTTAGTTGGAGAAGTTAATATTGGGATTTTCATGACCTCCTTGACCGAGCTACTTACAGTAATTAATCGGTAAACAATAAGGAATATCAATATATTTGACAAAAAATGAAACTATTTATCACATACATTCAACTTGGCACTTGGTATCAGTAACCACATATATTCAGTCTTCGGCGTAGGGTCTCAACAAGTACGGAGCTAACACAAAAATCACCCATAAAAGGTCGTGTGTGACCGACCTCAAGCAGTTGTCCCTTGGGCACTGCGGTCACGCTCTCAGGTCACTAAGACCACCTCTAATCCAATTTCCTTTTCAGGTACCTCCAGAACAACCCTTCCACGGTGTGGGCAACCGGGAAGTGATAACCGCCCTCATACCTCTAACAGCACTCAAGACCACTGTATTCATAATCAACCTCCTCTTCAATTCCTATTATTCCTCCTACATCGACTTTCAACTCTAAATTTCCTCTCTCGGCTTCCACCTCAAGTGTCACCATAGCCAACGATTCTAGTGCTCAAAACTCTGTCCCAGGTCTACTGAAACCTCGCTCCAAACTACACATTGGAGCCTTCAACGTACGCACCCTATGTCAAATCGGTCAGCAGGCTTCCTTGGCTAAAACCCTAGAGTCTCTTTCCATTGATGTATGCTGTGTCTCCGAAACACGCATACAGGATCCCAGTGTGGTCATTCACTTGACCTCACCTCGGCAAAACGGAGAGCCAACGAGATACACCCTCCGTGTATCTGGTGACCCGATGGCCAGTTCTCGTGGACTGGCAGTGGAACAAGCACTATTAGAGTGGATCCCCGTCAACAGTCGTCTATGTGCTGTTCGGCTGAACGGCTACGTAAGAACTCGGAAGGATAGGGACACACGTCGTTGCCTTTTTGTCGTTTCTGCCTACGCTCCCACTGACTGCAGCTCAGATGAAGTGAAAGATGAATTTTACAGAAAGCTGTCCGAACTTCTTCAGAAAGCTAAACGCTCAGACATAGTACTCGTAGCAGGTGATTTTAATGCTCAGATAGGTAGTTTAAACCAAACAGAAAGGCATTTAGGTGGATATTTTAGTATTCCGACACAGCGAACAGATAATGGTGATCGTCTGCTGCAGCTATGCTCAGACAATCGTTTATTTTTAGCAAACACAAATTTTAAGCATAAGGAGAGACATCGTCTAACATGGCGACCCCCTACACCAAACCAACGATGGACTCAAATAGACCATATTGCCATCAGTCATCGTTGGAGAGGGTCGGTAGAAGATTGTCGCTCATTCTGGAGTACCTGCTTGGACTCCGACCATGCCCTAATACGGGCACGCATCTGCTTGCGCCTCACTGGACGCAAAAAAGCCACATTAAAAAGACCCATTAGAACTGAGTTGAGTAACGAGAAAACCAAAAGTAGGTTCCAGGAACAACTGAGGTCACACTTAGGTAGTTGTGAAGACGAGGCTGACCCAGATGTTGCTTGGAAAGCATACAAGCAGCTGTGGAAACAGCAGTGACATCTATTAGTGACTTAAACCACAGAGTTACAAAGAACCAGTGGATTTCTTCAAGGTCTATCACACTGATGGATTCTCGCAAACTCGTCCCATCAGGTTCTGAACATGATGAAGAGCGACAACAAATCAGATCTAGGTTAAGAAAAAGTCTAAGGAACGACCGTGAGCAGTGGTGGGTAACGAAAGCAAAAGAGATGGAAAAGGCGGCGACTATAGGGAACACAAGACAGCTTTACAGACTAATAAAAGAAACTGGAATTAATAAGTCAAGTGTAAGTGAGATTATTTCGGAAAAAGACGATAC